GTTTCTTTATGTTGATCTAACCTTGATATTAATCTTGTCTTGACGGGTTTCATCATTTTCCAACGCGATAGTTTCAAGGTTGCACTTTAAGTGCTTTAGTATCTCAGGATTTTCGTTTACACCTTAATATTTGCTCTGTCAGTATGGTGACTTTCGCATTAATTTGCTTATTTCTATCCAGCTAATTTTAATTACCTGCTAGTCATCACAAAGTCTGAAACTAGTGTTTCTTCATTTAATGTTTTATTGCAATCTTATGGGTAGCTTGACTGACATTCACAGTGATCTATCTAATACTTGATGTTTCGTGCCTATGATTAGCTATATTCAGTTTAGCCACGCTTACACGAGAGCGTGAGCGCGAGAGCGCGACAGCGAGGCGAGAGCGTGGAGTAGGTAGGGAAGGGGAACCCGGCTTCGGCGCTTTGGCTTCGGCTTCGGCTTCGTCGTATTCAGTGTTTTTGTAAATTGGCGGCGGCTGCTTGGCGGGTTTTTGCCGGTGGATCGGTCTGGTTCTCTCGTTATATCACACACTGTGATATACCATTAAAAACATGGAACCATATGACATTTGTGATGGAAATGGTTTCACCTATCGCGTATTAGTGTCGAAACAAGAGGCTAATCAGCTAGATTTGGGTAAGATTTCCTTGCTTTTTCCTAACCTCTAAGATCTTTAGGGTTGACAATTTCTTTGGTATCTCCGAAATAGTTACTTTAGTGTTTCTTTGACAGGCCATTTACGACGTTACCAACTTCTGAGTCGTCCCAGAAAAGCAAAGTCTGTGCCCCAAGATCGGTGGACCGATTCCGTTTCTGTGGTTGTCGAGCCGGAAAGTGACCAAAGTGACTCTTGGCGGCCTCACGGAAAAAAAAGAATTTGTTGTGGGGATCAGTTGTGTTTGGTAGGCTAAGTTCGATAGCTGGAATCGAGAATCCGATAACCACAAGAAGTTGGTTGCCACGACCGGACACTTGTACGAAGAGAACCAAGCTGGAGTTTGTTCTCTTCGTATAAGTGTCCGGTCGTGGCAACTAACTTCTGGTTGAGGGTATCGGATTCTCGATTCCAGCTATCGAATTTAGCCTACCAAACATAATTTGATCCTCACAACGAAGTCATTCTTTTCCGTGCTGGACGACCTGTTCTGCCTAGCAAGGTTCTGCCCACACAACCATCCCATGAGCCAAAACCAGCAAATTCTGCTCATGGCAAGGCCTTAGAGGCCTCTTTACAACCATCCCATGAGCCAAAACCAGGAAATTCTGCTAATGGCAAGGCCTCTTCACGTGGAAAGGGTAAGTATTATGTCACAAGGAAATATTATCGCACATGCCATTTTCTGATTGTTGGTTTTAGAACGTTGTGTTATATACTTTCTTGTAGTGAGATGTGCCAGTAGTAAACTTGGGGCCTGTTGGGCAAAATTACCAGTGGTGGATCCAGTGTGTGAGCTTACACTGTGCCGCCCTTTGCGGAGAGCACTCAGTCCCAGATTCCCTGCTCCCAGCGTCTGGCTCCGTCTCTCTGACAGCTAGAGAGGATAGCTTAAGCTGACAGTATGTGGGGCAACAAGCACAAGCTCGACTACAGTGATGAACAAATCAAGGAAAAGATTCGAAACCTGAAGAGAAAGTTTAGTGAATGTAAGCGCGGTGTTGAACCTGGTGAGAGCTGGGAATATTTTTCTGCAATGTCATTTATCAATGACAGTCCTCTGCCACCTGAAGGTATGTGAAAAAATAAAATAAACCAAGTAATGCTTTGTAATGGGAAAAAAAAGTTTACTTTATGATTTGAATGTGGTTGAAGGTTTTGATGAATCGCCGTGTGAAGTGGAAAATGCTAGAGAAGCAGCATTCGAGTTTTTGGAAACCTTATGGTTGGTATTTTGGTTATGACATTAAGGTGACACAGGACTGAAACTGGAAAAGTCCGTCAAAAAGCAGCTATTTTGAGTTTTAAATCAAAATGCGAATTAAATCAAGAAAAAGCTCTCTATTTCATTCTAACTTGGTTTATTGCGGTTCTTTTAAGGTATAATAAGTCTTTATTTAAACGTAACTGTGGTCGCGACACGTTTTTCCGAAAATAGGGTAAGGTGCCCTAATGTGGCCACTGTCCATTGATGGCCACTTTTCTCGATTTCCAGAAAATCTGGTCACTTTACAATCTTGGCCTTAAAGTTGTGTTCTAGTAAGGTCCCTACTTGGGCATAATAAGCCAAAGTACTTCATATTGTTGTCTACATTACAAGAAAAAGGGGTGGCCATCATAGGGCATTTTACCCTATTCGGTTTTACCCTAATTTACGCTGATTTGGCCGTTTTACGGCAATCTAAACCGCCGATCGGTCGATCGATCGACCGACCGATCCACCGATCCGCCTCTCTTAAAGAGATAGCCCTCTGCTGTCGCTTTGGCCCGGTGGTGCGTGTGGTAGTGTGTGGTGCGTGGTGTGTGGTGTGTGGTGTGTGGTGTGTGGTGTCCTGGTGTCTAGTCGAATGGGGCCGTACTGTTACTGTTCGCTGCAACGCCGCAACTTTAAATCTTTAGTTCGTTCGAAACGTAAACGAAAAGATCAAAATGGAACCGTTATATACGTCGCCAGTGCACAAAAACCGTGCCACATCAGAACGCCGGAGGCGTCGGCTTTTAAGCCTTTGCTGTGCAGTGCCTCAACCTAAACGCCGGTCTAGAAATTACAGTTCGAGGATAAGTGCAAGAAGTCAAGCAATATCCAGTTGGTGCTGGGATGAGGAATCAGGGCAACACATGCTACCTGAATGCCGCATTACAGGTACTTCAGAGGACACATTTTCTTCAGTTTTATAAATTTCCATTTCTTGATTGTTGGTATCATATTCCTTTGTACTTCTACCCAGCTGAAAATCCCGCCGGAAATTTGTCACTTTCCGGTGGAAATTCGCGATTTTCTACGGGTTTTTCCATTTTCCCGCCGGAAATGACGATCCCTCGGAAATTCTCGACGTTACCTGGATAATATTCGTTTTCCTCGGAATTTTTTTTAATCCCATGGAAAATTCTAGTTGCCCTCGGAATCACTTTCCGCGGATATTCACTTTCCGGGGATTCGTAATGTTACACGGAACACATGTTCCAAGGAGATTGCTTCCATGGAGGAAACGCATTCCACTGAGTGGTGGCAATTTCCACGCAACGTCATGGAAATTCCGTGGAAATGCAGGAAATTCCTTGGAAACCCCATCCTTGTACGCAAAGCACTGGTGGGGGGAAACCATCTCAACTTCCATGGAAATTCATAACTTCACTGTTTCAAATGCACATGCTTGGAGAAAAGAATCATCGCTTTCTCATATCAAACTAGACTATTGAACTAATCAAAAAAGTAAATGAGGGAAATGAGTTAAAAATTGGGAAATTAGGAAGTTGGGATAAAAAACCGAGACTGTTGCTTTAAAGGTTATGTGATTACGTTATTAGAAACGAGTCCTCGTAATTAGATCTGTCGTCGTTCCAGATTATTTTTTTCCTACAGAATGTCTAACTTTTACTTACATAGTCGGAACATAGTGCACATGCCAAAGATCGACCTTTCTTTACGTCTGGCCCCCCGAACCAGATGATTTTACTAGCGAAACAAAGACTGTCACTTCGCCTGAGCTAGTGGTGGCGGTGAGCCGACCTACCTAACCTGTAACAGAGCCCTGCCCTCCCGCTCGTTGCTGCTGCCGCTGGCCGACGCGCGCAACTCGTGGAATGAAGTTTCGTTACATTCGTTTGTATATTCTTGTGAGGACTGCCCATGAGGATTGAGGATATCGATGGTTTCTTTGATATCGTCGGCATTAATCTACCCAGTAAGTAAAAGTCGGAGCACGGTTTTGAAAAGCAGAATAAACAGATTTTCGCAGAGACCCGTAGCACTTAACCTCAAACATAACCTTAGCATGCTACCGCGGTACGGTATTTTACTTCAAAATTATTGATTCTTTATGTTCTTTGGTCTTTGGTCGAATGTAAGCTACCAATAATGTGCTGTGTTCATTGATCTGGATCTCCGTGCAATCACAAGCAAAAAAATAATCATGCGTCGCCAAAACCTAAGTGCGATATGCTATTTCCATGGAAGAAATTTCCAGGGACCACTACCGATGCCATATTATTTCCATGGAATCCATTTCCATCGAACAATGCTTTCACGTGGAATTACTGTTCCAGGGAAAATTTTACATGGATGTAACCAAATTACTCAAGGGATTTGAACTCCATGGAATAATTTCCGGCGGAATTTTCAGCTGGGTAGGCTCTATTTTGTGTCCCGAGCTTTGTTTCTTGGCTGCTGGAGGATCGTGAGAAGCACGGAAAGGACTGCCCAGAAAAGAAAACCAACCGATGTTTGGCATGTTCTGTGGCAGAAACCCTCCACAAATCTCATGGTACCTCTATGGTTGTTCCTGCTCGGATCTACAACCAGCTCCCGAGTTAAGATCCTTCCCCATACTATAGTATGTCAATTGACTCTCTAACTATAAAATAGTGAAGTGACTTCTTTTATACAGTAGTTTTAATCTATCAATTTATCCTGGACTCCTTATTCTATTATTTTCCTTTGTTTAAAATTTGTTTCAATTTTTTAAAATGAATAATAACCAGTTAAATTTATAATTTCCGTGATTGACCAGTTTCTGAAACGAGGCCGCCAAGAAGACTCTCATGAATTTATGCGCCAATTATTGACAAAACTAGAAGAAGAGTTTTGCGAGAGATTTAAGAGTTCCATGTATGTATCATGTATGTGACAACACATTTCTGCTGTCACCTGCAGTATCTTCTAGTATAGCTGCTTTTTGATTCGATCAGTGGAATTATTGTTTCTATTTCAGGAGAAATTAAGGAAACTCCCGTACAACTCCTATTAATTTGATCTTTGGTGGCTACATTCTTCAAGAAGGTGAGCATATAGCAGTTTTTATGATGGAATTTTCCCACATACAGTAGCCTTTATAAAATTGTCCTGATTTTCCTTCTTTGCAGTGACATGTCTCAAATGCAAGGGCAAATCAACTCAGTCACAATATTTCTCAGACCTTGTGGTAGATTTGGAGACTAGTGTCAAGGAGTCAGTTTGGAGCTACTTCAAACCAATAACTGTTGCAGGGTATGCTTGTAGTCGATGCAAAACACATCAAGAGGCCACAAAAAGAATGCTGCTACTGAAACCACCCAATGTGCTGTGCATTCAGTTGAAGAGGTGACCAAATTGAGACCCTGCTACACATGTCAACACATTTTACAAATATTTGTAATTGCAACTTTTTTTTTTTTGAACGGTTTTATCATCAGGGATTAAAACTTGATTCCAGTTGCAAAGTTTCAACAATCATGAGTATGGGTAATTTGTACAACCGTGTCTAATGCACTACCATTTATAGTGTGTATTCGTCACCCTAGAGTGCTCCTTTTGTGTTATTTTAGGTAGAGATTTTAACTACAAGTTCCTAGCTTTGGTGGAGCATCATGGACCTCGACCTAACTGTGGCCATTACAGCACAACTGCTGCTAAGCTAATGGCTCAGTGTTCCGCTTTGATGGTGAAGAGGTCCTGTCATACCATTCTTGTGCTTTAAAAAACCAAATCAAGTTCAATAGTACAGTCATACTCTAGCATGTTATTGCCAATTATCTGTTTCAGGTCTCAGCAGTGATAGAAAGTTTGCTTCAAGAAGCTCGACCTTATTATTTATTGCTGAGCTTAACTTGAAATTAAACTTTAACTTTAAATGCTCAGCTCTGTCAGGAAGCGCAAGGGGAGATCGCCCGGAAGATGGCGTGAAGTGAGGCGCCTGGCGTGAGACGTGGGATGTGAGGTGGACAGGCAGGCCAACCAAAATCGTGAAAACATTTTAATTTTAGCGCGCCGCAGGCCAAGGTAGACGCACATTTAGCTCAGCTTCACACGGTTTTAACGTCCGTCTACCTTGTTTTATGAGAAGATGAATTAATTTATTCGTTTAAGAGAGAGAAGAAGGCGGGAATCAGGACTTGGTGTAACTGGTGTAGCACCATTGCGCCACTCTGGTGCTGCACCATTCAATGGTGCAACCCCTCTGCACCATTTGGTGCACGTTTGGCTGCCTACCCCTCAGGCGCTGGTGCTGGCGCTGTCGCTGGCACCTCGTGTCAGCGGTACCGCGCCACGGTGCGCGTCACCACTCTAGGTGTACGTTTGGTTGCCTACCTTACCGGCGCAACTTTCGCCGGAGGGGTAGGGGGGAGGATGCTGTGGGGTGGCTGGTGCTGCTGCAGCCGCTGCGGCTGCTGCAGCGGCCGTTACAGAGAGGTCGACTCAGGTCATACACACACACACACATCCTCCCTCCATGTGAGCATGAAAATGAAAATGTCAGGAGTGGGATTCGAACCCACGCCCCGCAGAGCAACGCGGGACCAGAGCTTAAATCTGGCACCTTAGACCACTCGGCCAATCACGGTCTGCTGTTAACGTGGACGTGCTCCGTAAGTTACCTCTGACATGACAACCCACTTCCACACCGCTGGATTTACCGTTCTTGGACCTCATCGGACCATGTTGGACTGCATTAGAATGTATTGGACAGTTAATTGGACCATTTATTTGACTTTTTTGGACCACATTGTCATTCCAATTAGTTGCCTAATGTAGTCCAACGTGGTCCAATAAACAGTCCAACGTGGTCCAACAAACGATCCAACGCAGTCCAATGCTGTCCAACGTGGTCCAACGTTCTTCAAAAAGCGGTCCGAGGCAGTCCAACGTGTGCGTAGTCCAAATTGAGCGTGGGAGTGGGACCTTTAAGAAAAAAGCCCTGGTGGTAGCATCACCGCACCTCCCTTTTCTTTTAGTGGTTATTTGTTGATAGGCACGATCCCAACTCTCATGCCAGTTCTCTGCCTGTGCATGTCCAAGCGCGATGCTTGGAGCGCATGAGACTTCCTTTGGACACGTTGGACGATATGAAAATCCTTTAGTTTTAATTTTCCGTGGTGGGTATGGAAGTGTAGTTCAGTGTTGTTGAAATGATGTTCAACCAATCCGCTCCAAATTAATTTATTTTTCCCGTGATTACATATTTAGCTTTCTTATACTACATAGGGCTAACAACGTTTGCAGAAAGTTCAGCACATGGGGACATCTCGCTGCAACACATCCGACAGTATTGTCGCAGTTTTGCGCAGTTGACTTTGCCAATTCCATCGCAGCTGCTGAAGGCTTCACTCTCCTTCGTTTCCTCGGGTCTGAAATCAAACATCATAAATATTGACAGTAAACACGGGTAAAAAGATGAAGATGTACACAATCATACTATCATTACTACACATCTTTTAGAAACTGACATTTACCTGTTTTAATTGGCGTAGGCTCCGGTGCCGTTGGCACTTCGACGACCGTGTCTGGACACAAAATATATATACTGTGTTAGATAAGCCCTTCTCCATATGGTCACGTCACACATGATAAATGCGTACTTACTAGATAAAGCATAATTGGCTGTAATGGCCGCCGGGTCGACATTCCAAGCCAACAATTGGGCAAACTCTTCATTCGTGAGGGTTGTTGCTGAGCTCACGCCGGGATCCGATAAACCTGGGCAGTTTGAGGCCATTCTGAGCTGCAGACAGTCTTCGATTCACACGTTTGTCATGACACGATGAGAACATCTGACTAAAGTTTTCAGCTATCTTGTAGCTTATATACCACATTTTTTTTTTTTGCTGACTCTTTCTTAATTTAAACCAGTTCAACCCCGTCTTTTTTTCTTTTATATTAAATCCCACGTCATCACTTTTTTCAGTCTGGTTTTTTATACACTGATGTTGCTTTGATATTCACCCTAAATTCTTGCCGTATTCGTACACCACATTAAAACGTTGTTATTATTCAATAAATTTGGATCTATCCCTCTATGTAACAGCAGCAAAGGCTACTGCGGCTGCTGCAGCGGCTGCTGCAGCTGCTGCTGCAGTGGCTGCTGCAGTAGCTGCAACAGCGGCTGCAACAGCAGCTGCAACAGCGGCTGCAACAGTGGCTGCAACAGCGGCTGCAACAGTGGCTGCAACAGCGGCTGCAACAGCGGCTGCAACAGCGGCTGCAACAGCGGCTGCAACAGCGGCTGCAACAGCGGCTGCAACGTCGCGTCACCACCCCTTCCATATTGCCCGTATTGGACCAAGTTGGACCAAGTTGAACCACTTTGGACTGCGTTGTATCGTTTGTTGGACCACGTTGGAGTGCATTGGACCACTTTGGACTGCGTTGGACCACGTTGAACTACATTGGACTACTAATTGGATTGACAATCAATGTGGCCCAAAATGGTCCAATTAACTGTCCAGTACAGCCCAATGCAGTCCAACATGGTCCGATGAGGTCCAAGAATGGTTAATCGATCAGTGTGGAAGTGGGTTGTCATGTCAGCGGTAACTTACGATGCAGTGCACACTGTCAGCGGAGCTGCGGTGACGTCCCCACTCGCATACCCCCGGTAGAGGCACCCGAATTCCTGCAATATTTGTAAAAATGTATTTATTGTATTGCTAAACTTCCAACTTGCATTTGGCAAACTCTGGCTGCATCAGTAACACCAAAATCTGAAATGATGGGTCTTGGGTTTCAGGTTTCTTTGGAGGACCACCTTTTACACTTTCACTACTACAGACACCGCCGCGCTGCAATCAAGATCATATCGGTGCCCTGGGTTTAAATAAGGTTACGTTTTATGGCAAGATATATCGTTTTATTTATCTGTTTACAACATCTTATCTACAAAAGCTACGCGATTCAGCAAGGCAGTTTAGTACGGCGGGGAAGAATGGTTCCTCAACATGTTCGATTAAGTAAAGCTTCTTTTCCCTCCAGGGTACGTTTTCGTTTGTCAAAATTTCAAGTTGGTCTGTAAACACGTCCATTATGTTCAGATAGAACTTTGGAAGACGGAAGTAGCTTCGTCGTATATTTAAACATATTTCGTTTAGGAAACAAATAAGACCCTTCGATGCATGTTCGATTACAGCCGCCCTTAAATAACTTTCTGGTGCGCGAAGTATACGAATCTTTTCCTTGTAAGCTTTAACATGATCATTCAGAATACGTATCGAGCGATCCATGTCATCTTCGTTGTCGGTACCTTCACCATCGCTATCCTCACTATCGCTAGTATTTCCACCATCTGTGTCCATCGTATCATCCGAGTCCTCTTCTGACTCGTCTATCCCATCTGCATCCACCACATCATCACCTATCTTTTCGCCATTTCTCATTATCTGATGATAACCCTCACTACTGTCCTCATCTTGCTGATCACTTTCCTCGTCACTGCTTGCCTCCGCCCACTCCTCCCACAGAACGTCAGTTTCTTCATCACTTGTGTCTGTGTCCCAATCTTCTTCATCTTCACTTTCTGTGTCCCAATCTTCTTCAATTTCCGAGTCATGAAAGCTGTACTCATTATGTCTCCCGGACTGTTTACCGCATTTATCTGTAACTTCAATTACACCTTCATAAGCCACATTGTGGTTGTGCGGTACTTCTAGACGCCCATTTAAAGTTGTTGTAACAGCTGTAGCGGAACAACTCTTCACGAAACATTTCCAATATCTTCTATTGTTTCTATGTAAACGGTGGTAAAATGTTTGTCCGTCCAGTAGAAGTTTCTCACCTCCCTTTTGCAGTCGTACAACTTCAGCCGACATAATTGGCACAGTAACAATGAAAGGTGATGCGACGATCTTCACTCGTCCACTGCCAGTGCTAGACTGACCAAAAGTAATGGTATCAAACAGGGGCCCAATGAGACCTAACGCGTTGCGTCAAACACCCCAAGCACCTGCGTCAGTGACTGTAACAGCGGCTGTTCCAGCAACAGCGGCAGTGGTAGCCGCGTGTAAGCGCGCGCATGGGGGGGGGGCTGCACTGCACGACCTGGTCGCTAGATGCTGACCATGCATGCTCGCGGCAGAGACTATTCACGACAACCACCCGATGCATCAATCTCGAAACCGTTTAAGATATTCAGCATGAGTCAGGGTGGCCGAGTGGTCTAAGGCGCCAGATTTAAGCTCTGGTCCCGCGTTGCTCTGCGGGGCGTGGGTTCGAATCCCACTCCTGACATTTTCATTTTCATGCTCACATGGAGGGAGGATGTGTGTGTGTGTATGACCTGAGTCGACCTCTCTGTAACGGCCGCTGCAGCAGCCGCAGCGGCTGCAGCAGCACCAGCCACCCCACAGCATCCTCCCCCCTACCCCTCCGGCGAAAGTTGCGCCGGTAAGGTAGGCAACCAAACGTACACCTAGAGTGGTGACACGCGCACCGTGGCGCGGTACCGCTGACACGAGGTGCCAGCGCCAGCACCAGCGCCTGAGGGGTAGGCAGCCAAACGTGCACCAAATGGTGCAGAGGGGTTGCACCATTGAATGGTGCTACACCAGTTACACCAAGTCCTGATTCCCGCCTTCTTCTCTCTCTGTTTATTTCTTTAATTCCTGCCATTTGTGGCTATCATATCACCACTACCAAACAAAACAAGTGAAAAATTCAACAAGCGGTTGTGCGTACTGTGATATGACTCATTCATTTACTATTTATAACTGTTGTTGTTTGTTTGAAAATAAATTCTTTGTTGATTTGATGAATTTTGTTTAAAAATACTCTTGTGTTCGTTTTATTCCGAACGTTTCACAGTCCCATTACCAATTTGGAAGCATATGTACACATTCAAAATA